AGATGTCTAAATGTTTTGGTGTGGGGAGGAAATGTAAAAGGATAGAAAATTACAATTTTCTAGGGACCTATAGTTTCTTTTTCAACAGCAGTAATTGAAAAGAAGTAATGAAATTCAGAATTTAGATTTATATTGTGAGTAGTGAATAAAACACAAAAGAAATGTGTTTCTGTTCTCTTTTTTCTTTCCTGTCAAGATTTTAAGTGTACTGGGAATATGATTTTTTTTTTTTTTTTAACCAAAGGATAGCCATGCATGTGTTCATGCTCCTTTTTTTTTTTTTTTTCCCTCTAGGCTCCAAAATATGTTAGTTGTTAGATAAAGTGTTTCGTGCTTGAGCTGTATATATGCTACATGTTTGTTAGTGCTGTGCCAGGTTTGCATACACTACAATAAACCCTGTAAATTTCTAGGCTGCAAACTATGGCAAGAAATACTTGGCTCAAAATTCAGTTGTGTGAATTCCAGATGATAGCTAACTTTTTGAAAATAGCAGCTCTTATGTCTGAAAAATAATTCCATAGTCAGAAAACATAGCTCTCCTACAGTAAGCATGTTGATATAGTGCTGCAGTACCACACATAATTTTTTAATATAAGAAGAATTTGTGACAAAAATTGAGCTTTCAATGGTTGTTAATGATGTTGTGGCTTTGTCAGTGATTTTCTTGACTGGTATGCTTATGTTTTAATTCTTACTGCCATAAGGCATGAGAATGTTGCTTGTCTGGGGATTTTATCTTTTTTCAGATGGCAGAGCTGCTTGGGCTTCCTGGAAGCACCCCTGAAGCAATTCTCTCTCGTGTTGCTTGTTTAAAGGGTCTTGATACTTAAGTGGTTTCTGCTGTCTAAGAGCCATTGCTGAAATGAGTTTCCTGCAGCTAAGAATTAATTTTAAGTCCATGTAAGAATGGAAGGTGACATTGTCTATATAAGATAATCACTGTTTTGTTCAAAGGTACTGGATAGAGCAGAGCAGCTGAGGGAAATGGAAGCAAACATCCTGCCAGCGTTTCTTAGGCTTCAAGAGTTGGTAAGTGTCTGGAAAAAAAATTAATGTGTTTCTCCTGCATAGTGAGAGTAACTGAACATGGTATCTGTCCATCTAAGCTCACAGATCAAGATAAGTGATTTTTTAGATGAGAAAAGCTGCACAATTAATCCCCCTCCCAAATAATGAACTGGCAGTAGTCAAAACAAGAAACCAAACCAAAATTTAAACACTGCCAGGTTTTTCTTACACTCTTTTTTTTTTTTTTTTTAAATTCTGTTTAATAGTATCTTGTTTTGTGATACCGGATCTGTTGTAGATTCTTTTGAGGCTTGTGTCAGATACATAGCTGTCTTTTTTAGAGTATTTTTGTTTTTAAGAAGAATGTGAAATTTTTCTATTCTTCATTTAAAGTTTTGTAATAATTGCAGAAAAAAAAAAATCTCAGACAGACTATAATTTCTAAGGAGAACCTTCAACATAGCTCCTATTGGCTTGGTGCAAATCAATAAATAAAACCTCTTTTTAGAGTTTGTCAGATGTTTGTGTGGGAATCCAAAATCTGCTTCTGAGTCAGCTACTGATTCAGAGAGCTCAACCATGTTGAGTGAGTTCAGCATCGGAAGCGTGAATTTGCAACTCGGGAAATGTTTGTTTTCCTCAAGTTTCTCCCATGTGAAACCTCACAACATTGCGTGGTGGTTGGCTTGTGAATGGTCAGTAGACCACCAGCTATTTGTTTGTGGCTGGAGCTGCATAGCTCAATAGCTGCCAATGTGCTTTATGATGGCAGAGAGTTTCTACACTTCTACAGGAATTGTGCCACAGTATGTTTCTGGTTGGAGTAAACCACTGTATCTTTCCCTCTCTCACTTCTAAAATATCAAAGCTTATGCCTTGAAATAAGGAAAAATGGTGCTTTCTCTGAAAAGAAACTGAAGACAAAAGCAGAAGATGGTGGTACTTTGAAACGTCTGAACATCTAAATAGCTGAAATTATGCTTGTTATCTCAAGACTTTTGTGTGGTACTCTTAATCTTCCGGTGACATTGATTTCTCTGTTTACTGAATGAAGACTGATTCACAGCTGTGTTCTTAATCCTGGCAGCTGATGCATTTTCTGGCTTTTTTTGTCTGTTCTGCTCATGTTGTGGATTTTGCTGCCCCTGGAGCAGAAACAACCTGTTTGACAAGAGAGAAAGGAGGAAAACTGGGCCTATAATTGTTGTTCAGGGACCAAAACATAGGAAAAAAATCTACTGCATCACTTCCTTTTCTGGAGTGAAAGGAGACAAGAAACTTCATTAGTGGTGAAGGATTTCATGGGACTGGGGGATCGCTGGCAAAGGGTCATAAGATGCTTGATTTCTGTGAGGATTATGATGGGAAGTACTTAAGTTTTTCATATTGGAAGGTCTTTCAGGAACTGAACTGAAAATACCTTAGTGATTTTCTCAGCTAAAATACTAGGAAATCTGGGAGAGGAACACAATTGAAAGAAATTTACAGAAAGACGCTCTCTCTCTCATTAAAAGAAAAAAAAAGTTCCATAAAAATAGAGAAGGAAGGAACAGTAAAGAATATAGGTGGGTGCCATTTTGGCAATAAGTGGGAAGAGTAAATAAAAGATTCTCACTGATTTTCAGGGAAGGGGAATAGCATTTAAACTTTTGTTTCAAGTCATTCACAGCTCATATTAAGCGTGGTCAATTCAATCGGGCTACTTTTATTTTCTTGAGGTGCCTTGATAGTTTTGAAATGTCGTTCTTGAAGAACCATATTTAAAAGCATCTTTTGTTATGCAGAATTTTTAGTATGGTGGCAAAAGCCTTGCAAAAAGAAAGAATGACACATCATCTTCACAGATAGTTAGCTTCATCTTAAAAAGCTGATATATTGAAGGGTCGCCAAAGTAAAGAATATTTTTTTAATATGAAGTGTTTTGTTATTTATTGACCGAAACATCAAACTCAAGGCAAGTATATTGTCAATAAGAATGTGGTTAGAAAGAGTATGTTACTACAGACAGCCGTTATTAGTAACTAGTTAAACAGTTGGTAGAGTACACAGTTAATGCTATGTTTCTGTTTTGGGATGATTTTGTTTGTTTTTGAAGACCAGCTTACCTTTAAAATAAAGTACTAGATAGCTTGCTTTCAGAAAGCACTGAGCTTTCTTTGTTTTTTAACTCTTCCTGTTTGTTTGGAAAGTCTGGGTTTAATTACCAAAGTAAAATGCCGTCTTAATTTTTGGAGTAAGTTATGGAATCTACTTGATATTGTCTAGTACCAGAACTCTAACACCCCACAAAGCATGTCAGTGAAGTGGCAAGGGATGCAGAGAAACCTCATGTAGTTATGAAAATCTGCAAATGTATGAGCTTCTTGATTAGGCCAGCTGAAGCTTTATTACTATGCTAGTAATTTGTGTTAAACTGTAAATTTGATGGTTTTTGTGGAACAGAAAAGTCACAATAATAATTTTTTGCATTGATATTGTAACATGTGGTGTTATTTTTTTTTTCTTTCTCTATCTGTCACGCTTTTTTTTTTTTCCCCTTCTCTGTGTAGACTGACAGAAATGTGACAGTTGTCCTGCTCAGTGAAATAGTATGGGAACTGTTCCGTCCAAATACTGGATGCTTTGAGCCATTCACCTTGTATTTTCCTGATTACAGCATAGGTAAACTAATTCTTTAATCTGTTTTTTGGGGGTTGAATAATAGTTTGTCAAACAACATCCAGATGTTTTTTCCATGTTTATTTGTATGCTTTTACACAGTCCGGAATGTGTAATAGCTACTGGAATGTGAAAGTATATACTCATACAACCTCTAGAAGACTTGTCTTTTTCCATCTGCCAAACTAAAAGTAACATTTTTGTTCCATTCTATTTGCTGGTTCTTTTAATCAGTGTAGTTTTTGGTGGATTTTGTTCTTTTAGTGATGATCATAGGTTGTTTTTCAACTTAACTTGTAAAATGTGGTCAATTTATTAAGTTAGCTTTAGATAAGCAAAACTTATTTTTATTTAAACAGGACACCTGCAGAAGATCTTGTCTCAGAATCATCCCCCAGAATATTCTGCGGACTTCTATTCTGCATATATCAATATTCTGCTTGGTGTCTTCTACATGGTCTGTAGGGACCTGAAAGAACTTCAGCATCTGGTGAGATGAGCTCCTTTAGGGTTGTTGTTTTGTTTTGGGGTGTTTTTTGCCAAATAAGCTCTGAAAGTCTAGATTTATTGCTGAACATGGTGGTAAACCACAACATATGGACAAAGAGAAAATCATAGAGTAGTTTGGGTTGGAAGGGACTTTTAAAGGTCATTTAGTCCAATCCCTCCTGCAGTGAGCAGGGACATCTTTGACTAGATTGGGTTGCTCGGAGCGCCGTCCAACCTGACCTTGAATGTTTCCAGGGATGGGGCATCTACCACCTCTGGGAAACATGTTCCAGTGATTCACCATGGTTATCATAAAAAATTTCTTCCTTATATCTACTCTAAATCTACCATCTTAAGGATACATTAGTTCAAAATGCAATTTCCCTAAAAATTCATAATAAAGGTTGCAATTGTTTTTGTGGCTGTAAAGGGTTTCCGTTGCTATGTAGTGTTCTGGTCAGAGGCAACAAAAGCTACACTAGTGAGATGCCAGTCTGTGCATGGTTCACCCAGCCTAGAACTTCTGTTGGGGTTTTTGAGCTCAAGCTGTTCCTCAATATCAAAGAGTGACTGAGAAGACCAGGCTACCTATTTTTACCTTTTGGGCTAAGGAGATAAGTGTGATGAAACCTTTTACGCCTACTGATAAGTATAGTAAAAGCTACTGCTGCACATGCAACAATTTTTGAGGGACAACTCCATTACAGTTTTGGTTAGTGATTTTTTGTTTGTTTGTTTTTGTTTGCAATTCACTCTGAGGAAGTAGTAGTTACGATTTTACTCTTTCAGGCAATGGTAGGCCTCCCTGTGCTTCTTTTCTCTTCAGAGTCTTTTTACATGTGACTTTTTATGTGACTTTGCTCTTATTGCTACCTTCTTGCTGTTGTGGAGTACTGTAACCCCTAAGTAGCCTTCTGTTGTATTTGTTTCCTGGACTATGCAGCGGAGTGCCAGACAGTTGCTTTCAACTTTTGAAGGAATTACCTTCAGTTGCATGGTCTCACCATGTCCAACCTCAGAGCTCAGAGGGTTGTGGTTAGTGGCGCAGTCTAGTTGGAGGTCAGTAACGAGTGGTGTCCCTCAGGGGTCAGTACTGGGTCAAGTTCTGTTCAATATATTCATCAATGACCTGGATGGAGGGATAGAGTGTACCATCAACAAGTTTGCTGATGACACAAAACTGGGAGGAGTGGCTGACACGCCAGAAGGCTGTGCCGCCTTACAGCGTGACCTGGACAGGCTGGAGAGTTGGGCAGAGAGAAACCTTA